GTCCCTGCCCACGTGCCTGGGCGCCAAGACCACCCCGAGCCTTGGGGTGGGGACAAGCAGCAAGCAGACAGTCCACAGCCGCCAGGGGCCATCTCGGGATCATCCACTTTGCGGGCCCACCACCCACGAGGAATGTGTGGTGTGTGGTGACTGGGGGGGGGCGGAGGGGGGACACACAGCAGACCCTGCCATCGCCTGTGGGGCCACGGCCCTGCACACCAGTGTGAACGCCCATGGTGCTGAGGGGCGGCCCTCCCAGAGCCCAGGCAGCAGCCCAGGCAGCCGGGCACCTGCTGTGGCATTTACGTCAGGACCCTCCGCCTGCCCTTTTCAGATTCCTCCCCAAGACCATCAGGAAGACGTAGCCCATACGGGGGGGGGGGGGGGGGTCATGGTTCTGTGGACCAGGCTGCAGCGGGTGGGCCCTGGATGGGGAGGGACCTCACCCTGGGCCTCGCCTCGGCTCCCTCCTCTACAAAGTGGGAGCGAGGACAGCGCCCTCTCGGCCGCCGGCACCCTCACTGCTCCCGGCCTCATCTCCCCCAGGAGATGGTGACGTGCAGGAACCCCAGCCCACAGTGAGCGGGGCACCCACATGGGCCACGAGCCATGCGATGGCTTTGGAAGATGCAGCCCGACAGCCGTGGGCTCTCAGCGGGGTGGAGAGCTCTCCGGGGGTGGAGAAGCAGCCCAAGGCCATCCTACGGGGTCCCATCCTACGGGGTCCCATCCTACGGGGTCCCATCCTACGGGGTCCCATCCGACGGGGTCCCATCCTACGGGGTCCCATCCGACAGGGTCCCATCCGACGGGGTCCCAGGCTTGGTGCCACCTCGTCCCATGGTTACAAAGAGCTCGCCCTCTCTGGGCCTCAGTTTCCCCATCTGAAGAGCAGGTGCACAGGCTTTTCCACCACCAACGCTCCTCGCTGAGCCTGGCCATCTCGAGGTCTCAGCCCAATGCCCCTGTGGGAGGAGTGAGCTGGGCACATGGCCCCCCAGATCAAGGCTCCCACAGCGTGGGCTTCCAACACACTGGCTGGTGGGGCCCAATCCCAGCTCCCCACTCTCCACACCTGGGCCCCCTCCTCAGCCAACAATACTGCCACACGATGGACTCCCGCTGGGCTGCAGTAGTGACATGCTGGGATCCTCTCAGCCCCCCACCCCGAGGCAGGCACAGGGGTTTCCCTTAGGGGCAGACACAGGTGCACGCAGTTGTAGGGACTGTCTTCAGCACAGGGGTAGGGGGTGTGTCCGGGACACAGAGGGGTAGGGGTCTGCCTGGGGCAGAGGGAAGGGGGATAGGGAGTGTTTGGACTGCAGGGGTCTGGGGCCTGCATCCTCAGGACACGGGCGAGGACTCTAGGGAAACGGACCCTCTTCTCTACGTGGGTCCCACCTCCTGAGTGGGCAGAGCTTGGAGCCCGGACAGGCTGGGGCCTTGACTCATGGCCTCAGGCCTCAGTATACCAATCGCTGCAGGGGGACAAGCAGGCACAGGCAGTACCTGCGAGAGCACACGTTCACTGCATGCTGGCTAAGGGTGTCTGGGGAGAACCACTGCACTTTAGCAAAAAATGAGGCCCCACCAGCGTGCGAACCTACCAACCAGAGTG